AAATTAGTTTAATCCCTGTCCTTGAGCTGTCACTGTCTCTGTGAACACAAACTCCTACAGGTAAACTTCCCCCCCAGCTTTTTGTTCTGAAGGCCCTTGTGATCCCCTCCACCCCAGGAACGGATGCGTGCCTGTGCTGCATCCCCTTCAAGGCTGTGCTTCTGAAATATTCCCCATGGGAAAGGCTGAAGCAGCTCCTCACTGATGTCCTTTCTTTTGAAAAGCAAGAGGAAACACTTCAAGGGAAGTCAGTGAGGTCAAGGAAAAACAGCAGCAATAGCCATCTGTCACAAATAAGCAAGAACTTAATGCAGAGAATCCCACTAACAAAGTAATTTTTAAGGAAATGAAAATACAAATTCAATACAAATTGAAATATTCCAGTGGATCTAGTACCAGTATCACATCAATGATGTAAAACATTTAAATATATAACCAAAATTTCGGCAGCTTATGAGCTACTAGAGAAGCTTTTTCCTATGAAATTTCGACATGGATTCACTCCCTAAATACTGAGATATTAATTGCAAAATACACTATCAATTATGCACCATGGAGTAAGAAAAAAACTGTTTAACAAAACGAGGGAAATATTTTAATATTTTGCAGGGCTTTGCGATTTAGAAACTCTTTTGCCCTTGCAACTCACAGTAGTCTTCTCTGTCCTCTGGCATCTTTCCTCTGGTAAGCCATAGCAAAGGAAGAAAAATGCCACCGTGAAGCCTTTGTAAAATAAAAAACCCTGTATTCTGTCAGGACTTCAGCTTCCCTTCTGCCCCCTTCAGCTCAACCAGCAGTGAAGCTGGTATTGAATCATGCTGCATTAGCTTAAAGAAATATATTTGATGCTTCAGTTTCAGCGAACACTTCAATTTCTCCCACTATTATTTTTCGTGGCTAGGTGAAAACACATTTGGATTAATTACATAGCCATCAATGGTTTTGCCTAAGTTTTATTTTCCCTCCCCCCCCAACCATTCAACTTCTTTTCTCTTCTAACACAGTGTTCCTGAAATAAATACAAACCCTGCATCAGTCAATTAGAAAGGAGTTACAAACTGTAGCGTTAACACAGGTTCTAACCACAAGTTTGCCCAGCTGTGCCTGGGAGGCTCATGTCACAGGCTCTGTCCCCACTGAGGTCTGCAAAGCCATTAGCCTGTCATTACAAGCACATCGAGTTCCTTACTGAGCAATCCATTTTTTTAAAATATTAATGTTCTTTATTTAGCAGTCTTATTTTACCACCCAGGAAGAGTCACTCCATCTGACGCTTAGTGCACACATGAGGTGTGCAGCTCTATATGCAGCTCTAAATCTTTCATATTCCTAAGGCTTGCATATTTTAGCTGTTTAATCACAAGATTTTTTTTGTTAATGTTATCCAATGTAACTTATCATCCTAGTAACTTATATGAAATGTATGTCAGAAGCTGTATAAAAATGACAAGAAGATAAAGACCTATTAAATTAAAATGGAAAGGGCTTTCTCCTACAGAATCTGGTTCAAGGTCAGAATCCCAAGGGCTCCAGTGGTGAACATCCTCTCACACTGTCCCAGCAGATGGGACTTTGCCCTTCAGCAAGCATACGTCAAGGCTCTACCTGGATCGTCAGAGTGTGGTGGGAAACTTCAGCTACCAGCAGAACTCCGGAGCAAAGAGCTGTGTCTGTCAGCACCTGGGGTTACCGATACAATGCTGCTATATGCCTCATCAGCCAGTTACACTCAAAACAAGATGCTTTTCATCATTTATATCTCAGGCATTGACTCCTGCCTATTGATACTTTTTTGCTCAGTCACTGTGCGTTATGCAGATGCTGTTGGACAATCTGTGAACAAGAAAAATGGTCAGGCAGAAGGGCAAGGTGCCATTTTCATGCAGAAGAGAAGATTTACATGTAGCTACACCCTGTTCTATGTGAACACGGTCATATCTGCATTACCCTGAAACCTTTACTGCCAAGGGGTAACTTCAGCTTTGTGCTTCTTTCAGGACAGAAGCTATTGGCTATGATCTATCTTGAGACATCATGATAATTGAGTTCACTCACACTACAGAGGTATTGGCCCATCATAGAACCAGTCTGCATTGCATCATTTCAAAGCCAGTCAGCCGAGTTTGCAGTTGCTTCGGTGGCATCCCAGAGGTGCCAGCATCTCAAATGCAGTATTTGAATACATCATCTCACCCATTACGTGTATGTTGGCTAACATTCAGGCTACTGAGTAGTAACAGGAACTTGTTCTGTTACTTGTTCTGTTCTTGGTCCTCTTAATATGAGTTTCTGAATTACTCACTGTCATGCAGAAAGTGATAAAACTACATTAATGAGTAATACGTAAAATTCAAATGAGACCTTTATTTACATTAGGTTTTCAAGCGCTGGGTATTGTAACATACATAACAAAATTTCATACTACATTTTTAATAGGAAATCAGCTGATCTACAGAATCAATTTGTCAAAACTGACTAAGCAGAAAATGTGTCAGCTTGGTTTTAGAGTACTCTGTCAATTTTACACTGTCTGCTATTGTTCAGAGTATTCCTGATGTCATGGTTATAAAAACAGAGTGCTCATGCAGGTTAATTTACAGTCAACTCTCCTAGTAAATTTAAAATTCTTTACTTGTTCAGAAGACCAGGTCGATACTCTCCACGTTGTCTCACAAAGCAATTACAGATCCAAATAGGGAGAAAACTAGATCAGGAGATTTTTAACGGAAAGAATACTGGATTTAGCAAGACAGGGAGTAAGAACTTTAATTATCATCTCTCATTCTGTAGAAAACAAGTTGTACTCTAAAGATTAATCAAGTCCTTTTATTCCATATTAACACTATGCAGCAACCAAAATGAGTGCTAGGTAAACAGAAACTTAATGAAATGTTTTGCTGCAAAGTGGACTTCAGTAATGCACGCAAATGATAAAGTCATCAACTCTGCTCACTGCCAGAAATAAAAAAAATTGCTACAGGAGCAAATAACACTGATTCATACTGTGCTCGAGCACCAGTCAACAAAATCTATTAAACTACATAGGGGTGAATTAAAAAAAAAATTAAAAATCAAAGCAGCTTTGTTATCTTACTTGTGAAACCTTACTTAACTCTCAGGCATTACCTCTTTATATCAGCATAATTAAGTAGCCTTCTACAGTTTTTATGATGTGGTTACAGACACAAAAATGTTATAGTAAAAAGCAAGAGCTAGTTCAAGGAATTTCAGACTTTGAAATCAGCAAGATACAAAGCTAAAATTCATATGTTCCTTTTCAAGTTACGAATACCTTCACTAAAACATAAATATTTTAACATATATTAATTTTTTCTGACATTCAAAATTGTAAAGTCAATATGGCAGAATTATTGTTAAAAGCACATATTTACAAATACTCTTTTTTCATACATAAAGTATTTGGCATAATTATAACAATCTTACTGCATACACAACTGTTTGCTTCTTTTTCACATAATGGTACACTCCTTATTAAAATTTACCAATTATGTACAAAAATACTTGAACATTTATTATAGAAAATCTCTATAACTACTGTCAACAGCTTGTAACTGCTGAAGGTTTAATTGAGAGAATATAAAAAGTGGTCACTTTCTTCCAGTTAAACTATCAACAAATCAAACACAGTTAAAATCAACATAAGTTTCCCAACAAAAGAGGGAGAATATTTTTAACAGCATGATTTAAAATGCAGTTCACATTCTGCAGTTAAAATCTGTTCCCAAGCACAGGTTAAACAGTCAGTAAAACAAAGAGGATACAAAAAATACATACAGAAGGTGCATTTATTTTTTTCCCCCTTCACATTCTTACAGCTTGGCATTTGCTTTCCAGAGCTCTTCAGTTGCCAGTCACTAAAATACCACCTAAGGCCAAACACCATTCTCCTACAATGAAGATAATGGTGATGAACTCAAGCTAAAAAGCAAATACAAAACCTGACTCCACTGGTATGTACATATCCAAAGAGCTGTTCAGAATTTTTGCAACGTTTTTACAGAATTATTAATGACCTTTGCAATTAGCTTTTGAAATTTATTGATCGATATCCAGTAATTTGTATTTTTAAAAATTTGTTCAATTAGTGTATTGTCTTGGTACTAATCAGTACTGATTCTTGTACACAAGTTAAATGAACAATTCATTTGTACCTATTTCAAACACAGATTCTATTTTAGGGTGAACTTTCAAAAACAACAGAGAACGTCCACTAGCAAACTGACAGCTTTTTAAAAAAGAAAACCAAAATACAAAAAAAACATTAACTGGAAGAATAAGAGTAAATTGCACCTCAAAAAGAAAAGGATGCATCAAGTACAGTAATACACTAATGGCACAAAAACTTATCAATATTCACCAATATCGGTGCTCTACGTTGAATGAAGTGCAAGTATTTCTCCATCTTAAAAAAACCATAAACCAAGTGTGTGTTTCAAAAATTCCAAACTACATTCTTACAACAGTTCTCTGCAGTATAATTTGCATTATATCTCCATTTTTGCAGACATTTGAAATGATCAACCTGTTCATCAGATACGAGAAACAACTTTCAGCCTACTTGCAGAAACATCCTAATCTACTGACTACTTTGTTAGAAAACGTGCATTTATCTCTAGTAGTAAAGATCCAGTCAGTATATTCTGTATTTTGTAAGAAGCATTTGGCTAACTCAGATGAGAGTTGTAGGGTTTTAGATTTAATTTTTTAAATAAAAATAAAGTACAAATAAAAGCATTTATCAGTATTCACCACCATGAAATTAAAGAAAACCCCTCTCATTCATGCTTCCTATAATATCTGGCAACCTAAATTAGTAATTTCATTTCAAATGTGCAACATAATATTAATAAGCATTTCAAAACTACTCAGAAGGCGGGTGAAATATTAAAGTGCCTAACTAAACGTGTTTTACAATTTTTAAAAAATATTATTTCTTAAACGGGAAATAATTGGTTGCAATTAAATATAAAAGTGGCTTCTCATAGCTGAGAGACTTTGCGGGGCAGAGGCCTGGGCCGGGGAACCTGCTCAGTCCTCCTGCTGCTGTTCTCCAGATTGTTTGGCCGGACCAGCTGTGGCTTGGGTGGCAGCGCCGGTGGGTCAGCGGCGGGTGGGATGGAGAGGCTGTGAGGTAGAGGAACGGGGCGTTTCAAAGTCCGCTCATAGACGCTGTAAGGTGGTGGGGTTTTACTCTCTTTTCTCACAGGCTCCTCAGAAACGCTGTAGCTTGGGACAGTCACTGTTGGCTCGCTGCCTTGGCTTTCAAAGCCCGACGTCTCTGATGTGCTACATCGGCTGAGCGAAGAGATGCCGCTGCTGTAACTCCCTGACAGCACCGGGGAGTTGGATATGAGCCCCGAGGAATGATACTCCACTGGAGATGGTGTGAATGACTGCACAGACCCCTGCTTGAAACAAAGGGCAGAAGAACTTACTTGGAGTAAACAAGGGAGAGCATTTCTGTGCTCGGACTGAACACACACACACACATCTGCACAGATTCTAAGGCTTAATGAACATAAACAGTTAATTACGATTCCGTAAGAAACCAATAAAAAGCTCATTTCAGGAGTGCCTAGGTACAACTTGAACAGTGCTCATGCCAGTAATTTATGTAAGTGGAAGTAAAACTGTATCTTACTTAAATGTCATCTTACTATCATCATAGTCTGGAAAAATCTGGAAGCCTTTAAAAGGAGCCCTCAATTTCCTAGCTTTGAGTGAAAAGCATAACCTGCATAGCACAAACCTAGTGGTGCCCTGCCCCCTAATGCCACAGCACAGGACTTGCATCCCAGCCACTGCTGCTACTTCAGTCTCTTATCTTCCAAGTTCATTCTCCAAAGCTTTTCCCCACAGTTTTAGTGCATTGTCATGCAATGAAAAGTGTGTTTACATTGTGGCATCATTTGAGTGTGCCATAATACCAACGGTGGAGGTGAAGCACAGAGCAGATGCCAAGCTAATGGCCACTGCTGGGCACCAGCCGGGTCAGCCCACAGCTTGTCTTGCCATTTAGAGGCAGCAGCAGGAAGGCAGGAGGCAAGGCATCACTGCTGCAGATGGCATTTTGAACAGCATTTGCTCCACCCTTCCTTTCCCCCATCTCCCAAGTGTTCCTTGGACGGACAGTGCTGCTTGCACAAAACACAAACCGCACTGCGGGCCCTGGGGATGAGGGTCCAACAGAGGGCAAAGGCTGCAACTGGCTGCACCAGCAGCCTCACAGGTCTGGGGACCAAGGTGAGGCACAGGGAGCTGAGGGCCAAAGCTGCAGCAACAGTACTGATAAAGAACAGAAGGCAGGGACAGTAAAAGCCCTACCTAAAAACATCGAGCTTTCCTATTCTAGTGAAGAAACAAACTGAAAACTGTAAAAGGTTAAACCACACTTTGCAAGTTGAAAATTTTTTGCAACTTATCTAATTTTGACTAGAGCCATCTGAGACAATCTACACTTAATGGCCCCCATCACAGGCTAAAAAAAAAAAAAAAAAGATAGAGAAATCACATCAAAGGCAAATTTTTCACCCCAATTCTTGTTAGACTGGTTGGCGCTTAGCTGCTCAGCTTAAGGTGAGAGTGTGAGCCATGCAGTAAAGGGTGGAGAGGAGTGGATGAGGAGAGGGACAGGAGTGCATAGAGCTGGCTGCACTGACTTTATGCTGTTGAGATAATCTCAGTTATCCATCTAGGACTGGATCCACAGTGCACTGAAAGCAATGGGAAAAAGAAAAAAAAAATCTTCATTTACATTAGTGGGTTTTGTACTAGGATGGCCTTCTCAGAGAGCACACAACAGCTGGAAAAAAGGCTAAACACTGAGCCCTGTATATGGCTAGGGAAAAGCAGAGTAAGTTTTATTTAAAGCTCAATACACATTGAAGACATTTCAGTCATTGTGAGGAGCCTGTTTAACTACTTTTTTCAGGCTCTATTCCTCTGCCTGTGAGGAGGTTGCAGCTGCACTCCTACCCCCACAAACATCCAGGGTCAAGGTTGTTAAATTAATGATGTAATTGTTTCAAGTTCCAAGAATACTTGACATTTGGATTAAGTGACCATAGATAAGATTTAGGACATTTGCTTTTGTCATTCAGAACAAGAGCAAATATGTGTAAATCCTGCCTGCTTCAATTTAGGACCTGAGCAAGGGTAAACACTTGGTTCCTGACAGCAATGCAGACTCTTTGTAGCAGTAAAAAGTAACAGTCTAGACGCCAAAACAGTCTGGAAATTCATAAATGCTGGAAGTGAGATCCAGCAACTCTCTGAAGTATTCTAGGCCAGCATTCCTCTCCCAAGCAGCACTCCAGACTTTGGCTGTAAAATGCTTAAATTCTGTCCAGGTCTTTAGAATAAGATGTTAGGATGACCTTGAAACACTCCTAAGAATCATCAGTACCAAGTCCATTCAGGAACAAAGGAAGAGTCGCTCACCTTTTGTACAATATCCTAATGCTTCCTAGTAAGCAGTCAGTGTGAAACCTGGGATCGGTGCTCCCTTCAGCAGAAGTTATGCTATAGTAATAGGACTACATGGCACTCTGATAGCCAGCAGAACTGCTCTGTGTTGATCCTGGACCACTGTGCAGCCACAGGTGGAAATGTTACAGCCTCATGGGATGACAAACAAGAGAATGATTGTGGACTTGTCATTAGGGACCTCAAAGGGAAAGGAGGCATACTGGGGTGCCACCTTCCTCCTCCTCAGGACACACACACCTCTGCAGCATTAGTTAGGCACTGAGTAGCTGAGGGACCACTTTGGCAGAGATGCCTCCCGCTGCCCTCACGCCCGAGTGCCTAAAGCACCAGTCATGCTCCTTTCTATTTGCCCTCCTTCAGGTTGTTGATTCTCATATTTCTAACTGCAGAATTATATCAGCTTCAACAGGGTGCCAGAGGCTATCCCCGAGACTAGTGCTGTGTGGTCTGTCAGCACCAGGGTTTGCCTGGCATACACAGGCTGCACGTTCATGTCCGCTGCTGTGGAAGACAAGGATTTTCTGGTCATGTTTTCCAACCTGTTGTGCAACAAGCATGTACTGACACATTCAAATATTTTGAAATATAAATGAAACCTGCTCTGTTTAGCCTGGATCACAAATTACTATGAGTGTTTAACTGCCAGAGCAGAACAAATGCTTATTCACAGCCTGTGTTTAATGTTTCCTACTGTCAGGCTTCAAGCTACTTCCAACTTCTTACACTACCTTGCTGGGTAGTTCTGCGGAGGAAATGGATATTAAAATGGCTGAAGCAGGGATTAGTCTGTAACACACCCTCTAATCCAACAGCTCTGGGTGCTAGAGAAGTAAGAGGAATGGGTTGCACAACAGGTTTTCCTTAGCTGGCTTCTCCCCTTTTGCCACTGACAGAATTCTGAACCAGGTGGACCAGTGAGCACCTCTTACATATCTTTCTTGCACTCCCTTCTGTCCACTGACTCAGGTGAGTTTGATTACCCATGCAGGTGAGAAGTCTAATATCGAGAGGCTAAAGAGTCTGAAGATTAGGTTTCTTGCCTGCAGTTTTGAAAATCTTCAGAGCTGCTTAATTATCATGGCTACTTAAACTTGTGAATGGTTTTTGTATAGGCATATGATACTAAAAAGAAAAGATAATATAATCCCAAAGAACGTATATTAAATACATAATAACTACCCCACAACACATATGACTTGTCCCACAAAGGCAATTCACTGCAATAAGACAGTACCTTCATTGGCGATCTGCCGGCAGGAGAAGGGGAAACAGAGGCTATGTGTCTTGCTGGTGATGCTGTAAAGTCAGAAAGATTTCATTGCACTCTTAGCATTACAATTTTCACTAAGAAATCTTTTTAAGTGGATAGGAGATCATTCTACACACAAGAATTATCTCTGATTCTCTCGAGGTACTTGCCCGATGGCTGCAAATACTTCTAGGGATTTTGTTTATTTCACTTTGTTCTCAGGATTATCTTGCAGTACAACCAATGAAGTATAAGAAATGTCTGCATCCATCTTCTCTGACAAATTTTGTATCACTGTAAATTGATTTATATCCTACCAATTGGTAACAGGATTCAAAAAAAGGTCAGTATACTAACTTTTGTCCTCCTCTTTTTCTTCTTCTCTTAAGAAATATATTATGTATTTCTATGTCAAATAAGAAAAAAGACAATACATACTTGTATCAAACATTTACCTGTAAATATACTGTAAACATGCCTGGACACACTTTGAGGTATAAGTCTAAAACACAAAGCAACTTCACTCTCTTGAGAACAATTAGTTTTATAGTATAACTTAAGCAGCCTTTCCTTTAAATGGAAATTAATCTTTTGAAAGGCAAAACAGTTACAGTAACAGAACTCAGGTACTTCCATGATTGCTGTGCATTTTCTGTCCAGTAAGATTCTTTGTGGTTTAACTACTCATTCATTAAGAGAAGGTGCAGAGTATTGGAAACAGAATGCTACAGAAAATATTAATGAGATTAAAATACCTGTGGAGGCAGTTCTACAGCCTTCCATGTAAGTAATCAAATAATAAATTAACCTGGCCAAGAAGTTAAACATTAATCAGAGTGGTAAGAATCTAAGCCCTGAAGTAAATCACGTTTTTTACTGGGGCTTAGCCTTAAATGTCCATTAACTCACCAGTCTGTGCAGGTCTTGGTGGTACAGGAGGAGATATAAGCTTTCCACTTTCTGATGTGTTTCTGGCTTCCTTCCCACTGTCCAGGCTCCAGCTGCTGGGCGTGGTGTTAGCAGCTGGGAAAGAATGACAAATCTGGCATAAGCATCAACACTTCTAGCTCTCTGACTTGCCTTTATCCATAAGGGTAAAAATACAGAGTGAAACCGTTAAACAACTTAACAAGTATGCCTGAAAAGCTCTTGCGATTACATCAGCATTTGAAAAGCTCATAAATAACGGCTCTCAATCTTCTGGTTGCCTGATGTATGTGTCTGGCACCAGGTCAGTTTGCGATTGTGTAGCAGTTGGGCCCACCAACATCAATAGCAGCTGAGATAGCACTCTGGTGCACTGCAAATCCAGCCATAGAGGGAGATAAGCTTGAAGACTGTTAATATAATCACTTTATCTTTGCACCAGAATCCTATTTAAAGGTTTCTAGGCAGAGAGGAACAGACTATTCATAAACCATTTCCATTAACTTATTTTATATACAGAAGGGACTAGAGAAAGGAACTTGCCAAATTCCAATCAACCTCCCTCAGAAAGCTTTCAGTGCTAACAGTCTTTTGTTGCCTGCTGAGGTTACGAATTTAGAATTGAAAGAAGGTAGAAAAAAGGGCACAAAACGGAAGGAGTAAAAATTGAAAGAAATAAAGATGTTGGGGGGCAAGAAAAAATTATTGTGGACTAAGAATTTATATACACTGTAGCCATGCTCAAGAATCTCTGCTTGATCATGTAAACTGATTATCACCTTGCCATATATAAAATCGGCTGTTGAATTTGTCTGTGTGACTTTTACCAAATTCCATGACTTTATAATTGAATGATCCATAAGGGCTGGAACAGCTTCCTTAATAAAACTCTATTATCTCATGTTATCAAGGAGCCATCGATATTGGAAAGAAGACAGATAGACAGAAAAACAGAGGGAGCATTTAACATGGACAGGACAAAAGCTAACTTAAACCCCACAATTTTTCTTACATGTCCTGTAAAAAAGTGGAAAAAACCTACTTCAAACCTTCCCCTCAAAAAAAACCTTACCAAAACCCCAGCACCAAGAAAACTTTCAAAGCCTCAACCTTCTTGCCTTGTCATGACAGTTTCCTTCTTGCCTGCTGATTGCATATTTTTGAGTAGAGAACCACATGCAAGGACTCTGCTCATTTACAAAGATGAAGCAAAAAGCAAAGTATTGTTGCTAACTGATGGTATCAACTATTACTACTATAGCAACACCAAGGACTCTCAGAAAGACTGGAATCCCACTATAGCAGTATATACCAGACTTAATACAAAAAATACAGTACAAATAATATTTGTTTCCTATCTGTAACAATATTGTTACAGTATAATTGCACATTAGTTAACTCAGAACAGTGCACAGACTAATCTATTTTCTAGATGATCATTTTGCTTTTTTATTGCCAAAATATGCAATACATTGTTTGCTTTTTATTGTAGGCTGTCACCTAGCAGTATGGTTTTGCCCTTGTCCTAAAAATGACTTGGCACCAGACCTAGGTACTTCAAATGGCTGAATCCCTTGACAAGCCAATTTTTCTTTTAAGTCATCCAAGCAGTCAGTTCTTTGGACTGCTGAAATCTCCAGGAGAGAACATTTTATTTTAAAAATTATGTAATACACTTGGCTGCCTAGGCCAGTGGAAAAATTTTGCCATTTCCATGTTGAATTATTTCATATGTTTTTCAGCCCTGTGAAAAAGTCCACACTTGAGCTTTCATAAAAACTTGGACAAAAAAATACTAAGAAAAACAGTTCTTATTGATGAAATTAAATTCCTGGTCAGTTCTTATTACAGCATGTTCTTAATATATTTTCAATACACCCATTTTACTGTCTTCTTTATTCAGGTTATCACAAAGGGCAGTGCATACTGAAATGATGGAGCGTATTATGGATATAGAGCATGTAATGAAATCTTGCCACAAGAAGTGTGACAACAATATTGAATTTCCCCATGTGCAAAGTTATAAAAGGCCATATTTTGCCCCTGGAAATTCATAGGTTTCTCATTCACTCTAATTAAAAAACCAAAACCAAAACCAAAACAACAAACCATGAATTGATCTTTTCTCTTCCATCAAAGTGTAACCAAAAGCATAATTACTTATATTTGGTAAAGAGGACTTGCATGTACCAAACTTCAGGACTTTATCTATCTCTTTAGCTTCTCTCTGCCCCAGTCCCCAGAAGTTCTCCTCCAGGGTTCATCACTCCATATGTCTCTCTTGTGAAGCAGAAAGGACAGCTCTCATGGGCAGCCTGCTGAAGCCTACTGCTCCATCACCCCTTTCTGCAAGCTTCTGGACCCTTCTGAATGCAACACTCAGCTGAAATAAACACCATGTTCCCCTCTTTTTGACAAAGTGTTTTGAAACTTAAGAGTGTTAGCATAATTTATTTGCTTAGTTAAAATGTTTTGAAACTTGGAGATGACAACATATGTTCAAAAAAATTAGCATTCTACAAGAATATGACAGATTAATCACATTTTCATTGCTTCCAAGATTGGTATGGTGAAGCATTTTCACTCACCTTTGTCAGGGCCGGGCAGATTGGAATCACTTCGTGGCAAAGCACCATCTCCAATATGATTAAACAGCATTCTCTGTAAATTGAGAACAGCATGGTTTATGCATAGCTGCTGCTGTATTTCAGTAGCCTTTAAGAAAACAAGTATCTTTTTGTTATTATCCCCACCACACAGGTCTACTTTGGAGGCAGTGATAAACATCACCTAAGAACATAAATAGTTTAATAAAAATATGTGTATACAAATACGAAGTAGATGAGAGTTTTCTGAAAACTGTACACACTAGAATCAGAGGGAGGTTTATCATGTTCTAAGTTCTGACAGTTTCCAGCTCCCTAAAAAACAAAATATGGCTCATTCATACAAGTGGTACCTTGATAAGATTACCAAACAAATATAAGGATAGATCTGCAATAATTTCATTGCAGAATCAGGATTTGAACAAGGTGTAACGTTTGACGATATTCAAGTTATGGCTGTTATCTTAGAAGAGCATTGTGTATTATTTCCAACCCTGACTTTTTGGTAGCAGAGCTCTTCTCTTGTGGATAAGAGCTGAACCATAAAGTGTTTTTGTCTTTCCTTTTCTGAATATTCATTTAAAAAAAAAAAAATCACAGTAAACTTGTGAAACTTTTTTTTTTTTTTTATAAGCAAGGTCAGACAATCAAGGATATCCAAATCAAATCCTATCCTTCTGTCTACTTCCAGTGTCCACAGAGGACCATGCCAAGTCAGCGAGGCACTATGCTGTGGTTCCATGAGATGGCAAACCCAGCTGCAAAGTAATCATCATGGATCTAACATCTTGCAGCTCCACGTTACAAAGTGAGGAACAAATACTTGGCCAATTCAACTTGTCTTAAAACATCTTGAGAGAAAGCTTTGGTAGACTTTGAGCTATACTAAGTTTGCCTATGATGTACTAGAGTCATACTGGATCAAGTAGTATCTGTTTTCCTGGAGTTACCATTAAACTGAGGTGGTGTAACTACATGAATACTCTAATGTGACAGAAAACATAATCATGTTTTTGCCTGGTCCGGATCAAATGTTTGCTGCCTATTGAGTCTGCAGTGCACTAGGATCTAGTGGGCAAGTGTTGAAATCTGTTTTCTGTTGCGAAGGTAAAGGGCAAAGGCTGAAAAGGCAACTGAAATTGGAGGAGATAGAGAGAAAAAAGCTGAATGAAGTACAGAGAAACAAGGACATACTAAAATAAAGAAATATAAAACCATATGGAAGAACAAGAGCAATCACAGGACGTTTAATGAGATGCAAAGAAACCCAAAAAGCTCCATTAGGAAGAATAATAGTGCAAAAACTAAGGAAGCTTGTTGACCAGTCAATGACAGCAGGTATTCCTCTTCAGAGTATGCGAAGAGCTGGAGAGACATTGCTGTACAATTGCTCAGCCAGAGATCAAAAAGCAAGCACAAATGGATGTTGACTGAAAACAGCTGTACATAGATAACCTTGAGCATCAATTTCAATGAGGGAAGTGGATGCAGTATTGCTGTGGTCTTGTTCTATAAAGTCCATCAAACTTCCTTAAGTGAGGTAGTTATGGCCTGAAAGAACTTGATTTAGACTTGAAGTACAGTAATGTGCCTGTGCATCTCATCTTTCACAGCTGAAAAACTATTGTGAAAACTGCATTCATTAAGCTGTAACAAAGATGTTCATAAACGGGTGGTCCTTTCCTCCTTAACTTAGTGTGAAGCTCCAACCAAGGCTATTGAAGTTAACTGATGTTAGAATAAAAATAAAAAGGACAGGAACAGTTTGAGCATCTAAATCCTAATGAGTTACAGGTATCTCTAAGGTATCTCCTTAACAACTGTCCAAAGGATTTCTTTTCCACTTCTTAAACAGAAGGCAGAGAATCAGAATTTTGTTTCTGATTACAGTTCATTTTTATTGCTTGGGAAATAGAGCACCAGAGAAAGAAATTGCACCTCTCCCCAGAAAGATATATATCCTCATTTATGGTTATGAGGGCAGAAAGAAACTGTCAGACCTTCTCACTTTTGAAACATACTTTACTGTACAAGCAAGTTAATTTTCTACTTACCCTCTCTTGGGACACTGAGGATAGAGACAGACTGGGAGATTTTCCTGCTGGGCGAGCCTCAGAGAGAGTAGAGACTGGGCCTACGAGCTCCTCAGCCTCCCTTATCGAATCACAGGTAGAGTAGGGGATAGAAGTCACATTCCACTTGACAAAGCAAGAGTTTGCAGTCTGGGAGCAAAAATGGGTTAATTTTTCTGTTGCGGCAAACTGTAAAACCGCTTTATTTAAAGAACATCTCCTGGTCTCTCCTGTATGATGGTTTGGCTCCACTACCACTGAGAAAGTGCCCAGTAGATATATCACTAAGTAGTTCCTGAGGACTGCCCTTACTGATAAGCTTCAGTATTACTTCTTAAGCCCTCAGGTAACAGCACGAGGACTTAAACAGAAAAGAGGAAAAAAATAAATCAAGAGTCAATTCAATAACTGAAGAAGCAAGGGACAAGAATACAACCAATGAGAAACCAACAAATCATTTCTAAAATAAAGGATCCTGGACTACCAAGTTGTTTTTTTATCAGAGGCAAAAATTCTGGTGGAAATAAGAGTGTTGAGAGGAGGGCCTTGCACACTGTACTTATGTTCTTGTCTTTCTCAGCTTCAGCAAGAGGTGCATTGTGTGATGGCACAGATTAAAACATCAACTGTGTTAAAGGAAAGCAATTTAGGAAAGTCCATTTAGGAAAGTAAGTCCACTAAGAAGAAAAGATGAAATAAGTATTCAAAATTGTCCAGCTCACCAAGCTCATTTTGTATTTCAGATAACTAAAAAAATAGAAATTTCATACAGACCTACATAACAGTAATTTTAAGGTAAGAACTCAACTCATTATTTTCTCTGGAGTAACAAAGTGTCTACCTTTCTTTTCTGAAACTATACTGAAAAATAGGAATTTCCACATGGAGTGGGTTATTATATCACAGTGGCTAAGATTAGCTGTTTCAGAAGAAATAAAGGAGAGGTCAACATGGACAACTGCCGTGATAATAGTTTTTCTTTCTTTCTTCTTCCCTAGATTGAATAAACACTGCTGTTTCACACAAGCAGGCTGTGTCATCTGGTAAATCGTTGCATCTCTCTCTCACTGCAGTGAGTAAATACAAACAACCAACTCTAAATCTAGACAAAGTGAGCAGAAAAGTGATCAAGGACCATGTATTCTATTCACGTCTTATGCAAAATATTTTAGAATATAAAACCAAAAAACTTGAAAATTAACAGCAGTGAGCAGACACCGAGTCTGCTTAAAGTTCAACAAGCGCCTTTATTGTCTTCTTTGCTATTAGTGTTCAGGGGACTTCCAACAAGCTTCCTACCTGTGAGTTTTCCAGAGGAGTAGGGTAGATAGCACTGCAGGGCCTCTCTCTAGGGGACAGGCAAGAGTTTTCTCGGGAATGCTTATGTTTGTCAGACAACAGAGGAGAGGCTAGAATATAAATGTGTCAAGTGATTAAATTCATGCAGTGAAACTCACATTTAAATTCTATGCTTATGTCAAAGAAATCCTTTGTCCCCAATAATTCATGTTCCTCAAACAATTGGCTAAATTTTATGTCTGAACAGTGATATTATGCAGAAATTCAGCTCTGTAATGTATCAATAATAATTTAATATGGTTTACCACAAGAAACAAGCACTGACCTCTGGCACTGGATGGAGCAGAACTGGTCACATTAGGTGAAGCAGAATGAGTAGAACTCAGGCTTGAGGTAGACGGACTAGGCTGTGTATAGAAGAGATGCTGTTGTTATCAACATTACACTTACTGGTTTGGAAAACAAAAATTTATAACATACTTTCCACTAAAACAAACAATTGTAATTTGTTAGGCTAGTTTCTTAGTATTTCCAAATAGCAAATCAGTATAAAGAGCATTAATGTAACTACAAAAAGATGTACTAAAATATCAAATAAATAGAAATATAATTAATATTTAAAATAATTACATCAAAACTGTGACAAGTGGACAGAAAAGCCTATGGAAGGTCAGATGACATCACATCATAGTGCATTGCTGCTTATAGTTTTGTAAAAATTCATGTTCTAAGTTGAAGAAACAGTTATATAAAAAGAATTGCTCTAAGTTAAGTAGGTTAACAGCCCATTTAAAGATTTGTTTTTTAAAAGAAGTATCAACAATAACTTGGAGATTTCTGCATGAAATAACAGCATTTACTAAATAGCCTTTTAAGAAAGACTCTGTTTAGTTTGAAGAATAACAATAATTTGTACCTGCATGTTAAAAACTTCGTCAGAGCTTTCTGATTGCCCAGTGATATTGCTGACTTCAGCAGAAGCTTGGGATGACAGTGATGAGGATGAATATCGATTGACAGCTGGGTAACTCAAAGGACTATTATAAGAATAATGAAATACAAAATTGTTAACTCTAGTTGCCATTTATAACTTTTCATGTGAAAACAGCATATGTTTATTAATCTCCACAGTCTAATTTTTATTTAAGGGGGAGGGGGCGGGGAAGAGAGAGGCTGTGGGAGAGAGAGAGGGAAAATACATATGTCAGCTAGTTGTGCCTGAGGATACTTCGGTCAGACCATACAAAGAAGCATGCACACAATAAAAGTATTTTATGGGTCATCTTCTATGAGTAAAAAAATCTATCAATTTCTAGTAATTTAACTTGCCTGCGTCGTGGTATTACCCTGGCACCATCAGGGCTCATAGAAACAGGTATGGAATTTCGGCATACACGAGGACTTCCATTTGGGAAATGAACAGGACTAGCTTGTACACAGGCAGAAAATTCCTGGCAAGTTGTTAAAAGAAGATTAATGAAAATGAACATATCATCATTAAGCATTTTGTAATATTTGTAAGATAGTGATTTGAATAGTTACAGCTGCATTTTGGATCAGATTCATAATGAGTAAGAAAAACATTTTAACTTTTCACTCATTATACTTTCCCTTCAGTAAAATATGACTATTTTTCCTCTGCACTGTATGGAGAGTTTATTAACTTTCTCGTTGCTTTGTGGTACTGTTAATGCTACAAGCTGTAATGTGGACAAACAACCAAAAGATGTCACTATTTGTTGCTTAGGAAAATGAAACAACCCTTACTGCAGCTAAACTGCCTCCTGGTTTATCCATGCACCTGTTCACATACCTGAATTCCCAAGCTTGACTTCATCACAAAGAACTGATCCACCAGCTTTTTGTGCAATGGCCTCATGTCCTGTGGCACCACCTTCTCGTGCACTGCCAAGCCAAACTCTAGAATCTGAGCCTTCAGAAGAGATAGGAAGAAAGAGGGGGGGAAAAAAAATATCTATTTTTGATCCATTTTCTTTAAGCTTTCATCATCAATTAGAATACTAATAAAAAAAAATCCAACAAAATGCATGTTGTATTAAAAGCACCTATCTAAATCCCTGACAGACTTGTAATCAAACAACACCTAAGGCCCAAACCAGTAACATATGAAAGGACTTATGCCTCTTCCCATTTCACTATTCAACTTTCCCAAAGATTCGGCCTATGTGAATTCAATTCTAATATAAAAAACAACTACTGTTAACATAGTGAAAAATCTGGCTAAATTGCAGCTTTACAAAGGAGTAGTTCTAAACCCTAAATAAAAGCTATTTTCTACAAGAACAGTTATAGAGAGCATGAAACAACAGCCATGGCCACATCCACCAGAGATCCTGTAATATATTTTTAATTAAGTCCATGGTCCCCTATCCTATCCCAACTCCCCAGAGTCCTCAGCAAGTGGTAGCTCTAAGTATATTCTTGATGCAAGGCATGACAGGCTTCAGAAAAACATTGCTAAAACTCTAATCCTGCTCAAATTTGGTTGCAGGTATTTAAAATACTGAATTGGTTCCAGGAGGAATCAGATAAACTCAAATTTAAAAACAAAATAGCTACACTATGCTGTAATCTCTTTGGATGAGAGCTACTAGCTGACGTTTTCAGGCAGGCTGCGAGTGGGCACACAGCTGCGCAGCACTGCTGACCTGAGGTCAGGACTGCGGAATCCTGCTGCACACACAGCCATCCTGGCCCTTCTGAATGCTCCATCTGGGGGTGCCAGGCTGGGTTTAACTGCTATCACTTGGAATTCACATTTTTGTCACAGGCAGTTATTCACTTCAGCTTTAAATTGTAAGAGTTAGTAAGATTAACTATAGCTTGAAAAGCAAAATCTGCAATTTAAATTACTATACATTATCTAAATGAAATTGAAGTGAGCTCAGTGAATGTATTCTGACTGATACTCTCTGAGGATCTGTCCCTTCAGCTGATCTGACCAAAAGATACCACAATGCTGACAAAAAATGGAATTTCCATCTTGCCAAATTCCAATACTCTGACCTCTTTGTCCCAAGCTGGCAATGAAGTTTGAAATTTCAACATGCTGCATAGAACAAAGATAGGTAAACATCTATTAAAAAAGCTGAAATACTTAGTAAGCTTATTTCATCAAATTTTGGTTGTTTTTTTTTTTCAGCATTTCCGAATGGACACACTTCATATTTGAGGCTGGTAGGCTGTTGTCTTAAAAATAAATGAAGAAATAATACAAAAATAATATAATGCATAAAATATTCACCTGTTTTATTTAATAACTTGTTGCTTATTTTACTGCCTACCAACTTTGGCAATTGTTATTAGATATCTTTCAATATTTTGGGGGTTTTTTTGCTCTTGTGCTAAACTTTGTAGTGAAAATGTTTGTTCTGTAGTATTGGTAAAATGCATCATACAAATATTTTGCTGAAGCCATCAAATGTTTTCAGTGAGATAATGCTGATTCTGTAGTAGTGGTGAAATACACTGTGCAAACGTTTGCATGTGAGCATTACAATACAAAAACTTGCTTCTCACTCAACCTTTAATTAGAGTGGTTTGAAGTGATTAAGATGATGATAAAAAGGACTAGGGAAAAAATAGTAACATGACCCAGAAACCTCCTTGTCTGGGAAGTTGCTGTCTACTTGGAATGTAATTCAGAAAATACTGAAGACCACTGGGCAAGTATTAAACTCTGAAATTTTGTATTTTATTTTGGGACACTTAGCTAGAACAGCTGAGCAGGCCACCCAGTCAGTCTTTTCCCTGCTTTACCTGCTCGAGCATCAGCTCTCTCAAGCGTGTGATCTTCTCTCCATCCTCTGGATGGTTCAAGATGTATTCTTTGACAAAGAATGCCTAGCAGAATAAAATCACAAGGTAACATAAAGTGAGTAAAAACACATCACCTTTTTTTTAAACAAGTTTCTAGATTATATTTTTGAAACAAAAGCTCTATTCTACTGCAACAGAGGACAATAAATGCTATATAATTAATTATTCACATAGGCATTGGTGAAGACTATGGGCAAATAAAATGTAGCCACTCTTTAGTGGAATTTACCAGTTGTTCAATATTCGAGACAGATCCTGAATCAAAGTTGGAAACCTGCAAATCAGAGTTGAAACCCAACACAGGTCACCAGAACTAAGTATCTCTTCCCATATTAATTGTGACATAGGAGTTTCAAATACTTACAAAGAGTTAGATTTTCCTCTCTTTTCATACTAGGAGCTTCATTACCCCTTAAATATAAACATAGCTTAAGATCAGTGTGAAATTGTATGCTATTATATGTATTGGAACTGTGACATCATCTTGTTCACTCTTAATATAAATAATGTTTTAAAGAACTCATGGTGTCATTTATGTCAAAAAGCCACACTTTTCACTTCAGGAGCATCTGACCAACATCCAGGTGTGTTCATGAGCTTAAATGACTTTTCCACCCCATCTCCAATACTCAAATTGTACCATCTATAGCACCCTGAAGTCATCTTACCCACCAGCAATGGCCTGGACATAGCACTCCCTCTGTTTGCTCGTAACTGCATCCTTCTTAACATGGCAACTACCCTACCTGCAAGGGGATCTGATTTAGTTTACAACAGTTCTTGACACTATTCTGTACAGAGAATGCCCAGCTGCTCATGTGAGAGATTTCTAGACTTTCCCAAAAATACATTGTCACAAAAAGTCTCTGTATGCATACCTCTACATACACATGGTTTTCCATACATAGAGTTGAGAGGATAATAGTGGCTGCTCTGTGCTGTTTTCCTTTTGCACCTGTCCTAGCATTTCCCTTATATACTTCTTACAAGGTTCTCCATCCAACTTTAGCTGTTAAATTCTTTGCTATGCAGAATCATTTGTAAATATGGGAAGCAGTAGAGCTGGAGATAAATACACCTCTTCCTCTGATTCACTTCCAAAATTTCATGCTGTGACTAACCATAACGAGGAAGTGCTGAGACCTGTCTAGAAATGCTGATACTGTAATGAAGAACATTTATTTCAGATGACCCTTTCACTGCAGATAAGTAGAATTATAAAAATTCATGTTTAAAATATTAAAAGGAGCCTTCTGATACTTGCTAAAATCCCAAATCCCAAACTTCTGCCAGCTTTTTTCTTCCCTCAGCAACAAGCTTAATGTTCTTTCAGTATCAAGCAGGTGGTGTTCCAGTAGTTTTGGGCCGAGATTTATACAGATCTGTAATATGAGTCAGAGATGTAATAATCTAACTTCAAACAAAATCACCAGTACTTTATTAAAAAAAAACAAAAACCAAAACAGAATTTGTCTAAATCCAGTAACATTCTTTGAACTGGTGGTTTCCAATAATCATGAAAATGCCTCTAATCTTCTAGCACATATAAAGGAGCTAAAAGAACTGTAAGTTACAATACAAACTGCAGTTTGAGAGGTGTTAGTGGGCACAAAATATACTTTTCATGCTTTTCCAGCAGTGTTTAGAATTTTTTTTTTTAAAAACTGTGCTTTACTCTACAGCCATTTTTAGCACACATGAAGGTGCTGCTGTAGATTTTCCTGGAATCTGTTCCTGCATTGAAACCAGTGAAAGCATAGCTTTAACACCTGCAATACTGGCCAAAGTGATGAATAATTAGAGACAGCTGCTTTTTAACCCATCAGGAGAGAAGGGGGAAAAAAAAAAGGAGGGAAGAATCAAGAAGGCAGCAGCTGGCCAAAGGATGTTATTTGCCAAGTCTAAATAACTCTTAAAGCTTGGAAGTTGCCTGAAGGGAAGGAAAATATCTGTTAAAGACATGGACATGCTTACCTCAAGACCACAAGCTCCAAGACCAACTTTTGAGCTTTGTACAGGACAGAAGGCAAAACAAGTGAAACAGGCAGAAAAAAACATTTACAGAGGAAAGGAAAAGAAGGAAAGTAGAAGATAAATGTCAAAACAGCAGGAAGACAAAGATTGAAAAAGGGACATGGAAAGAGAATGAGGGTGAAATAGAAAAAACAAAACAAACCCCAATCTTACAACTGTTGCTACCAGTTTTGGTGTTCACAACACAAACTGGTGAAAAGTCCTATTTTAGATATAAAGCAAGAAAGAGAGGGAGAAGACAGAAGGGAATTGAAACATGAAGACTGTCTAGGAGATCAGAGTGGTATGGATTGCAAGGGACCTTAAAGATTATGTAGTTCCAACCCCCCTGCCATAAGCAGCAGGGACACCTTCCACTAGACCAGGTTGCTCAAAGCCTCATCTAACCTGCCCTTGAACACTTCCAGGGAGGGGCCAGCCACAACTTCTCTGGGCAACCTGTTTCAGTGTCTCACCACCCTCACAGTAAAAAGTTGCTTCCTAATATTTAATCTAAGTCTATCTTCTTCCAGTTTAAAGCCGTTACCCCTTGTTCTATCACTACCTGCCTTTGTAAAAAGTCCCTCCCCAGCCTTCCTGTAGGCCACTTCACGTACTGGAAGGCCGCTATAAGATCTCCCAGAGCCTTCTCTTCTGCAGGCTGAACAGCCCCAAGTCTCTCAGCCTATCCTCACAGGAGAAGAGCTCCAGCCCTCTGATCATCAGATCAAGAATTGCAGCTAAAAACAACAATAAGAAAGGAGTAAACTAAAACCTTTAATATGCTCGTAAAGGATGGAAAGCTAGGAAGAGACACCCAGCTAACTCTGTCACTGCTAATTCAAATCAGATACAGCTCTGACATGACTGTATTTGTCAAGGGGCTTCCTTCGTGACCCTTTACTAAACATGCTAAACATTTTTGTTGTGGTGGTTTTAAGGCAGCTAGGAAACATCAAACATGGTACTGCTGTGCTTTAGTCGCACAATTTTCATAATGTTGTTTAACAACAGATTCTAGCACTAAAGCGGATTCAATTTCTTGTACTTTAAGTTAGATGCAGTTTTATCAAATTTAATGCTGTTGAGCAAATACCGAATCTTGCAGCCATTGAGACACATAGACAGAATGTTATCCAACTTGACATTTTCAATGAAAAAGATACAACCAGTAGACTCAAGTGTTTCATAATACTACTAGGAGAAAGAGGTAGATCAAGCTGGGTTAAAAAAAAAAAGAAAATCTCTCTTTTTACTGCGATTTCAAAATTCCTCAGAACTTTGTGGAAATACAGCATCTCAAAAATTTAAGGTTCTCCTAAGGTGATTCAGAGGTGATAATAATGAGGAACAACTTTTGGGATCAAATCCAGTGTCAAACATTTCTTAAATTTTACATGTATTATTTCTTACTAGATTTTTTCCAGAAAATAGCTTTGCTTAAAAACTTGGGAGAAGAGAAAGAAGAAGGATCTAGAAAAATATAATTCTTCAAGATAATAATTTATTGTTAAGAATATTGTATATATATATATAAAATATATATTTATATATATTAATCTTAAAATTTAAATGTCAGCATACAAAAGTGAATTTGCTGGTCAGCCAGAAGTAGCCCCTGGTCAGAAGGACAGGGTGGAGAGAATATATTATAATAATATAGTTCACAATTTCAGTAAAAATCCACAAACAAACCAGTAAAGAATGCAAGGTAATTGTGAACTGACTCATCACTGGCATAAGTTTATGGGACTATCTGCAGCCAAACAGTTGTTTCAGTAAAGCTATACATATTTAACATCATCTTACCCAAAACTGCAATATAGGGGTATAATTAAAACTATTATTGATATAGTACTTTCTGTCCTTAATTCATACAGAAGAGCTGCATCTGTCCAGAGAAAGAAAAAAGTAAGAAACTGTCTTATCACAGAATTATAATAAAAAGAAAATAAATTGTTTACCTCTTGGTATCTAGCAACTCCACCATTAACTGCTGCATCAATAACCCCATTTAGACACATTGTGAGAGGGTTAATATTTTGCATCTGTCGAGTTTGACACTGACTAATCAGTGTTCTCAGCTGCTGGTTCTTATTTTCTAAGACTTCAATAGCATTCTCAAGGGGACTCATTTCCACCTGAAAGAGGAGCGAGGAACATTGCAAACATACTTAATCTTCAGTTGAAAGATGAAATATATTACAGGTAATTTTTGATTTAGTAAAAGAAAACAATGTTATTTTATATTCTAGACTACTGGGGCAGAACTCTCTGAGTGTACAGTCTGAGCACAGAGAGAATTAATTTTATCATGTAATCAAAGACCAAAATAAACAACCCTCACTCTCTTGGTAGATTCATTATCTGACCTTGAGAGATATTCAGCCTTTGCCGCAATACATTCACACACTTCAGCCTATGGTGGAACTCCTGGAATTCAGGGCTAAACTGTCCTTGGTAACTTCACTTAAATTGGGCTTGAGGGCAGGGAGAGCTTCACCGTGCTTAAGGGCACAGAGAAGAGCTTAAGTATGGGCAAACTAGTTCCCCCACCCAAAGATAATTCAACAACTAGACATTATGGATGAGGATTTTGAATGTAAGCTTTGAACTGCTACGATAATCAAGTTATAGTCAAGGGCAGTCCTTGAGCAGGATGTGCCTATCCTCTCTAAAGGGTGAGGAAGCTTTTCTCACAGGTAGCATGAACTGCAGGAAAAGCAAAAAGCTAAGTGATGGGAAGAGAATAGGCCTGCAGTTGACATAATTTACCAAAACATACAAGCACAAATCTGAGTCATGGTCTAGTACATCCCCAGGCAAAATTATTACAGTTAACTTTTGGATATGGTGACTATAATGATAACAAGATAGTACACTTAGGATCTTCATATTAGGGGTCATATTAACCTAGTAAGGACTCAGTAGGAGTCAACCAACAAAATTTCTCAGGTCACATACAATTTTTTCATTTTTACTAAAATCCATCATAGTTTTCTACAGGAGAGTATCAGGATGGTGAATGAATGACATTTTGTTGCTATCATAAAAGAAAAACACAATGGAGTTTTAGAGAAAATCACTTTTACAATGGTATCCCTGTATTTAATGGGACTATTGTAATACTGGTTTTGACAGGAAGGAAAATAGTTACAGATATTACACTCCTGGGCTCAACAACTGACCAATTATTTAGAGATCTTTATAGCAGAGGCATTCCTCTGAGTACATTTGAAATGTATTTAAGGATTTTCTAAGAAATATAACAACAAGGAAGGAGAAGAAATTACCATGTGTAACAGATTACTACACTGGATATTATTCCTACAAGTTCTGAATAGGTATGTTTCCCTGTCCATGCTGAGAACTGGGAACTTCAACAGAGCTCTAGGCAGACACAGAGATATACCCACATGGCATTTATAGTACAGGAACTTGGAGAACGTTTACTTTTCAAGAATACTGAAATACTGGTTAAGAATACTGGTTAAGCTACAGATATTCTAAGTATTAAATGTTACATCATGCTGAGTTTTAAGAAAGTAATTTGCTGACATTAAATGTTGCCTTTGCCTGCCCATTATTGTTCTCAACTTCTTTTTTCCTCAGCTGTTTAAATGAATTGTAAGGGTGGTTCTTAATAACACTTTTCAAGATAAGAGAAACCAGATAACTCAAAATACTTTGTAAATAATTTTGTTGTAGCCAGCTTGAAAACTCACTCAAAGAAATTAGATTTGGGTAATAAACCTTAAAGCAGTTCATCAAATACATATGATTAAGGAAGTAAACCAATCCACATTATGTATTGCAATCAGTCTCATACTCACTACTTCACGTTTTTCCACTTCAAACCAACGAGATATTCCAGGTAAACTCTGCACCAAGATCAGTGTGGTTCTCTCCACCCATAGACTCTACAATATATAAAAACAATTTATTTCCCTAATTTGCCTCTATATTTTTCTTAATAATTCCCAGTTTTCTTTATTACTACCTTCATTTAAGTAACAGTATACATTTAAAAAAGGTATTAACATCCAAATTTCTACTGAAATGTCTATCCCGGAATCCTATGACATTAACTTTTCTCCTTACTTTCTAGGACCTACTAGCAAGCAGTAATCTCTGCTCATTCTTCACTCTTAAACATGGTATTACTCTATATTATATGTTGTCCCCTAATCTCCAAAAGTCACTCACAACTAAATTAGCATTTTAGTATTTCCTTTACGAGATAACATCTGAAAGAAGGAGAGTTCAGAAGCAGAACAACTTACAGATCACACAGAGTGACCAGCTCTCCTCTGTGAAGTTCTATTTGAGCCTCCACAATGCATGGCTGATGTAATACTCAAATGTACCGTTAAACACTTTGTACAAGAGGTTTGTAAAATGACAAATTAATACATAGGATAGCGCTTACACAAAACATATACAAGTTGTACAATTAAAATAAAGATCTAAGCTTTAGAGGACAACAGTGACTTAATTTAGCTTACTTACAGTTCTTTCCTCTAACTTTATAACAAAATTATTATGGGATAATTCTCTTTGTGTGTCTGAATATCAGAATATATTCTGTATCAGGATGTAAGTGTTTCTAGTGGGTCAGAATTAAAATTACACTAGAAGAATGTAAGATGAATTTTCAGTGTGACATTTTTATTAGGAGGAACAGAAGTTTGGGGAAGAAACTATTGCTCTTCCCTGAGCCAATCTCTAAGTTCAGAGGTAGTTTTTAGTCTTGGTATCACAGGAAAATAGCATTATGCTGCAGTTTAGTCAAAACTGTCTCTCCGTTGCTTTAAGAAGTAACCTTTGGCAATCTTATCCATATCTAGATTATCTACTTAATGTTTTCCCATCTGCCTTACAAACTTCTGTGGAGGATGCTCTGCTGGCTCCAGTTCTGCCTTCTATATATTGCTGATGCAAAAACAAATGGGTTCTTTTTTTTTCTCTCCTATTCCCATATACAAGACCTTCCCATCTCCCATACATTTTTTATATTATTTTAATTAAAATGAAAATGAAATAGTCAAACCTGAGCGACCATCTCCTCTAGAGAATTTGTTATACCACACTCTGTTGAATAACACAACTGTAGACGACGTTTCAAAAACACAACTATTGTTGAAGTTACAAAAAAATCCATAGATCAAGTAGGTCAGGAAAGGGCATGGTACTTTACCTTGAACTCATTTTCCTTGTCCTTGGTCCCTTTGTGGAATGGCCTGTCATATCGGAATCGCCAGATGTGATTTACTTTATAAAAGCTCTTGATGTTATCAGGAATGCAAAAAAACTCTGCAGGACTTCCTGGTTTTCTGGAATTGGTGTCACTGCATAAATCTGCAAATCTTTATGTAAAGAGTTAAGGCTATCCCACTCAATTCATGTTGACTCCTGAAGCATGACAGAAGAAAAACTTTTTAAAGTGTGCATAACAAAATGCTTCTGGACTATTAGTGGCTTGGGAAAGGAACCTGAGAGACTTTTTGATGTTTTGGGATTTCATTGTACTGTTTTGCTGAAAATTTCATATTTATTTTTTAAACAGAGCTACTTACGTGGAATAGCACATGGAGTAAAGGGATTTAATTAAATATATTCTTTCACACAATACGTCATGCCATGCTAACATTATGTTGTATTGTAAGAACTTGAATTACTGTAACTTGAACTGATATACCATTATATCATAGTGGTGATAGTTCTACCTGTATTTTTGGCTAAAGTAAGAATCTTAATAACCTGCTGAGGAATTTTTAAATAAATCCAACAATTACACAAAAAAATTCCAAATATAATAGAGTGACTGGGAGAAATTGCAGGGAATTCTCACCTACCATTTATTTCAGTGGAGGCACATTGTGATTGAAATTGGCTATAGGCGTACCTACATTTTTTAAAAGCATGAAAGACATAACTGCAGTGTATGGGTTTGTGATTATGTGGATACACTGTGCTTCTGCCTGAAAGATGGTCTCATCTGGCTGATTAGCATGTTGCATAGCAATGGCATGTGGGAACTCATTCAACATTCGCTGCTGGAAGGCCTCCAGCCTTTCATAGTCATGTCCTCGGCAAACAAATTCCTTATTCTGAAGAGAATGAGAAAAAAAAAAAAACAAACCACAACCCAAAACAAAACAAGAGCAAGTTAAGTGAAAATAACTTGGTATCATTAGATAGATACAAGCATATGCTCTAAATACTGACTTTCCAGACAATTTTTACACCATTTAAGAAGGAAAAAAGAAGAAACAAAAGGCAAGAATGCAAATAAGAAGCCTAGAAAGAACAGGTTACTTAGAAATTTTACCATGTAAAGTATGTTTTAACAAAAATAGAAAAAAATCAAATTATTATACATAAAGCTTTAATACAAATCTGAAGAAACTGTTCTTATTGCATTAAAGTATGTAACTAACATAACATATCAAATTCTATGAAATATATAATAAAATATAATGCAACAGACAGTTACGACAATGAAATGGGCTGAAAGTCCTTTCCATGAGGAACTAGGAAACTTTGAAGTTAAACAATTCTGAAGAAAAACAATGCATAAGAAAATGGTAGAATGCACTGAATTTGCCTTATCTTCTAAATGTCTACCAATTATCAGCCTGGTAAATTAAAATTATCCAATTTTTGCAATATGAAGTGAAAGAATACTCCTGGCTCCAACATAATCTTTTACCTGGATGCCCACTATGTTGCACCATTATTTTCCTGAGATTGCACAACATGACTACAGGATACACCACACATCCTACATTAAACATGAGATGCCTGGATTTGGAGTACCTGTTGGAATTAGTCACTGACCGTCGTGGTGGTGCTGAGGGCTTCTGTAGCTGTGAACAGCACTTTTTGGTTTGATACTGCTTACACACCCATTTGAAATAAGGAAATAGCTTAAAATATCATTTTTCTAAAAACACAGTTAAATTAATTTCCTTTTAAAATCTATACCAGAAAATTCTAAAAAGTCATTACTAATATGTTCCTCTTGAAGCAGGTTTATATAGAAACAGTTGTCCTTATAGTATTTTGACTACAGAGTCCAGAAGCATTGAATTCTGAGACTTTCACAGGAATTGCTACAAGAAATCAACTGCAAAAGTGTTATTACAAATTAAAATGTGAAAGTTTTATTCCAAAGCTTTATTCATTAGTCCTATAGCAAACACAGCCAGACTTACAAACTGGTTTGCCACAAAAAAAAAATTAAATGTAGTAAGTTTTGAGGTGTTCCTTGTTGATGCTGCAAGCGTAAATCTGTGCTATGTACATTTAACTTGGAAAATGCATAAATACTCCCCGGGCAGATGCATAAGCAGTGAAATACCTACACGTCTGAAAATACTTCACTATTGTGCAACTTAATCCAGTACTTGTACTTCATCAGTTGACGTTTAGTAATGTAAACATTAAATTATCTCTAATTATCATTTTCAAATTGGTTTATACAGATTTTATACTCAGAGGACTACTAGGTAACAGTGCCCATCAGACTCTTTTTTTTGTGTATCTTTCAAAGGGGAGAGTTTCATGCTACATTTACCATTTGGAATTTGTCATTGTCCCCACCACAAAGGCGAATGAAAATCAAGCTTTTTAGGCCTTCACCATACAGAGGAGGTTCCTTCATCACTTATTTGAATTACCATAGCAGGAGGAGCTTGGATTACCACTACTACACCATTTAGACACACACAAGTGCACATTTAGTAAGTTTGCAGACGACACCAAGTTGGGTAGGAGCGTTGATCTGCTTCAAGGTAGGAAGGCTCTACAGAGGGATCTGGACAGGCTGGATCGATGGGGACCTGGCAGAAAAGGACCTGGGGGTGTTGGTTGTCAGTCAGCTGAATATAAGCTAGTAGTGTGCCCAGGTGAAGTGATTGTCCCTCTGTACTCAGCACTGGTGGGGCTGCACCTCGAGTACTGTGTTCAGTTTTGGGCACCTCACTACAGGAAAGACATTGAGGTGCTGGAGCAAGTCCAACGAAGGGTGAAGGGTATAGAGAACAAGTCTTATGAGGAGTGGCTGAGGAAACTGGGGCTGTTGAATCTGGAGAAAAGGATGCTGAGGGGAGACCTTATTGCTCTCTGCAACTACCTGAAAGAAGGGAGTAGCGAGCTGAGTGTTGGTCTCTTCTCCTAGGCAACAAGTGACAGAAGAATGCCCTCAAGTTGCACCACGGCAGGTTTAAATTGGATATTAGGAAAAATTTATTCACCAAAAAGGTTGCCAAGCATTAAAACAGGCTGCCCAGGGAAGTGTCGGAGTCACCAGCCCTGGAGGTATTTAAAAGATGCGGAGGTGCAGCACTTAAGGACATGGTTTAGTGGTGGACTTGGCAGTGTTACGTTTATGGTTGGACTCGATGATATTAAAGGTCTTTTCCAACCAAAATGATTCAATGATTCTATAAAGAATTCCTTGTTTCTCATAGAATAAGAACTTGCATATGGTACCGTCAAATTCTCACGTAGAGAAAGTGATTATGAACGACAGTATGAATTCCAGAATTAATCCATTCTATTTATTTTCAATTCACTTACTCTCAAGAAGAATGGGAACTTTTTCCCATAGAATCCAACTCTGAAAAATTCTGGCTCCAAACGCTGTTGATCCATAATTTTATCATACAAAGATGCTTCCATCATCTGAGTGAGATTGATAAGAATGCAATTAGTCTTTTTTGAAAATGTATTTTTACCTCTAGCTATCACAAAAGGAAGGGTCTTTCAGCACACTGCTCTGAAGTACTGGAATTGCAGCGCATCTCTGAGTAACAATAAGAACATCTAGAAGTCTCTTAATACATCAGGTTAAATAATTATACCTCTTAATGACCTGAAAGTTTCTAAGAATTTTAAAAAAATTGCTTTTAAAGATATTAAAGAGGCAAAATATTAGATTAATGACAACATGCATAGACTGTAAATGAAAAATGGATGTAATAGAAATGCAGTTTGAAACATATGACCCAGTAATCTTCTAATTATCCAAGCACATGTCAGTAATGTGGTCAGTTTAGTCAGCAAAGTCAAATTTCCATATTCAAGAGAGTTGTGTCCAAATCATACCAGATTCCAATGATTCAGATGTCAAATGTAAGTTCCTTTAAAAATCTCACAATAGCAATTCACATAGTTTTCAATCAATGCATCCTGCTTTTATTTCACTCAAAAAACTGACACAAAATGATCTTAATGTCAAAGTCCCCTTTTCCTGATGAAATTTCAGCAAAGCATTCTCTGTTCTTAATACTGAAAATACCCCAGTATTAGCCCTATTTCAGGTAATGCAGGCAGCTATTTAATGTGTACATGATATCAACAGCTGCCTAGTTATACTTCTATAAGAAACCCCCACACCTCCATTTTTGGATTAACATAGGTGGCACAGATACAGCAGAAGGATATTTCCCAATTCAAATACAAAACACATTAATTACAATTAATTAAATGTGCATAAACTAATTATTTTATTCACATGATGATAGTCACTTTGCTTTTGATTACAGGATTCTGCTATTGGGCTATCTAAATATATATGTTATAAGCAGATCACAGGGAGTACTGCTACATAGCAGTTGAGAATTTTGCATAATGCTGTTAAGCAGCTCTGTATTAATTATACTTCAGTTCATCCTAGCAGCAAGCATCCTACACATATGGAAAATTTAAAAAGGAAGCTGTAATATAAAATTGAATCCATCAGAAGCAGACAAGAAAAGGGAAGACTGAATAACCTTTAAAATAAAGTATCAGAAAGAATGAAGAAAGAAACAATGCTTAAAGTTCAAGAAAAAATAAGAAAGCAAGCAGGAAGACTGTGCCAGGAAAGATTAATTTTGGCTATCTGATATTAAAAAGACCATATTTTTAAGCAGAAAATAAAAAAAATCACAAAGGTGTATGTTGCTTGTGGCAAGCTGTTTGCCTGCAATTACAACTGCAAAGATACGTTGATGCTCCTAGTGAAAGACTGCATAGAGCACATTCCCTGGATAAACCATAGGAAACCAATGAAACTGAATCTACACTACAATTTTTCTACATAAGCATGCACACAAAAGGGGTGTTGTACAGGTACAAACATTGCAGGATCATTTATTTTCCCATTTTTCTTCAAAAATATCACACTCCTTTTTATTATCTTTATTGCATAAAAAAACCCACAAGCTAAAAAATAAAGTTTGCAAACCAAACCTAAGGACCATTCCAAATTTAATTTTCAAGGTAATATTTTTACAACCCAAACTAAAAATCTTTTGGATCTCTGATTGATGCAAAGTACTCAGGTACATTACCCTCATCTTGCTGAGGTTTCTGTAGTCATAGTAGCTCTCATACTGTTCTGCAATTTTCCTGCATAAGATAATGCCATTTTCCCAACACTGCAAGCAAGTAAAAGATGTTCAGTAATTTCAAAGCAACTCTTTGACAATTCATTATTTATTAGTGGTCTGTTCTTTCTATACTAATTCATAGTTTGTAATGTAATCAGTTTGATTACATTTACTAGGCTCACATGGATATTACACTAGCTACACAAAATTGCAATAAATTGCTTGTTACTAGCAAGACAAATCATTGCAAAAAGTGTATATAAAATTTTAGACTATAGGATAATTACTCCTGCTTAATTAAGAGTAACTATTTTCAGTGATGACAATGAACTGTGATCCCCAAAACCCATTCCATTTTAGGGATTTTACAATTGCTATTCTAAAAGATACAATACGATTTAGAAGGCTGAATTTTTTTCACACCTGAATTTTTTTCCTCACTTGGTCACTAAGCAAATTTCATCAGCTTTATATGGCTCATTTTCACCACCTTTAAAATGGGGATAAATTATACTGTCTTTCATGAAGTGCTTTGACAGTTACAAAGCTAACTGCTACACAAGCGCAAATTATTCTCATCTGTAAGTGTGGAATTTCTAGGATACAAACACAGGATTAGAAGAAACCTACTGTGTCGCTAAGTAACTGCTTAATCAGGCAATGACAAACATTTTCTCTCTATATGAGAATAGACTGCAGCCCTGGAAGTAATGTCCTAAAATGAACAACCTATCCTTTCCAGATCCACTCCATAAAATAAGACTATTTTACCTTTCCTCTATCAAAGTTTTGAATGATGGTCAGATGGAGACACTCTTTACGTTGCCACTCTGTCTGCATGGGGTAGTTGAGAAATTCTCTCAGTGGCCGATCCGACCACTCCAACAGCTCATCGTACAGCAGGAGTGTGTAGGCAGCCTCTACAAGACAAATTAGAGCACGGTACTTATGAACACCAAACAAATAAAACAGCTAAACAAAGTACATAGAAACGTGCACGCTCTTGATCAGACGCACCTTTTAAATTATTACTAGTTATGACAATACAATTTGGCCAACTGTCCATATGCATTACTGTTTTCCAAGTTAGTGTTCACAGTCTATTCTTCCACTCACAGGACCACTTTCCATGAGTGAGTCAGTACAAAGATGGGCCATGTTCTGGAGATGTACTGCACTGGAGAAAGAAGTTGCCTACTGGACTTATTTTATTGCAAGTTTTATAGGTTGTACATAAGGAAAGAAAAATATTAAAGTACTTTTTATGCTAAGTTTGCCGCAGACAACCATATCCTACTTCTGCTCTGCCATATGTGTTCCCATGAGACAGGCTACTAGAAAAAAACTCTGTAGTTTGTTTTAAACAGTAGTGTTCCTCTTATGGGTTCATCTTAAGAACCTGTGTATGAAAAACCCTCACTGCAGCGGATGTTTGTGGGAGGGTGCGCTTTGAATCTCAATGTAAAATGCTAAGCACGGTGCAAAATGATGTTGCACTGCAAAACGTGTGCAAGAAAGATCAGCTGAAGTTGCACAGACAATCTTAATTCTGGCATCACATAGCTTTCAGGCTGCTTGACTGGTAACAATCTTTGCCACAGTTTCAAGGTACAGTTTGGTACTCAAACTATGCAGCACATTTATATATCAATTTAAAAAATCCATGAAGTTGGTAACAACAAATCATTAAAAATCGTAAGGAAACAAAAGATAGCAGAGCATAAATACATGTCAGGATAGCTCACTATGACTCTTCCTTTCTAACTTGGCATGCAAGTCCTTAATTTTAACAGATTTTTGTCTGCCATACCAATATTAAGTTATCAAAAATGTATATAGAAGGCTTCTAAAATAAAAATGGCCATACTGGATGAAAGGTCCAAGGGGTCCCTCTATCCAGCATCCTATGTTTGGCAGTGGCCAGCATAACAAATAATGTATCAGTACCTCAGGGAGAGGTCTGCAACCAGGCTGTGCACCAAAACAGTAAGGAGAGATAAACAGGGTTGACTCACAATGGGGGAAATTCAATTTATACAGGACAGATTCAAAAAACATTCCTAAGATGGACAGATACAAAGACAATCTCATTACACTTCTCAGGTGTCTGAGGGGACACGAGAGAAATCAGTGCATTTATGTGCTTCAGCCTCTAGAGAGTTACAAGTGCTGTTTAAATAAAGATTGTAAACTATGTTTTATATTAAAAAGTTTTGTTTTGTTTTGTTTTTTTTTTACAGAGGATTATTAGAAACAGTCCTGTAAATCATCCTATGAAAGAGAAAAAAAAATATATTTTTAAGGGCAAGCTGGCTTCATTCCTAGAATGAAACCATGCAGCTAGAGAACTAATGGTGCAGCATGCAGGAACGCCGCTGAAGTAGCAAGCTTCTTTTCCTACTCCCATACACTTTAGGTCAGCAAATTTACAAAAGGTCTGTGTGTTGTCACTGATTGATAAGGCAAAGCAATGGACTATATAAGTCTGGTTTCTAGTGGAAAGACTGTCTTTATCCCAGTGCCATGGGTGTGAGACAATCCTCCACTGCTTACAGAGTTACTAAGATCTGTTATGTAAAATCAGGAAATTAATAGTCTGGCACAAAAGCCAGCTGTGGCAAAGATTCTGCTTGACAATCAAAACTCTCTTTTGACTCACTAGTGCCAGGTCACATGAGGAAATTAAAATCTGTCCTTAATATATCCTGCTACCTACTCTATGCTTTAAACCCATGACCTGCAAAGGGATTGTGGAAATTCCAAGTGAAGACACGTGTTATCTTTACTATGCATAGCAGAACAGCATAAGGAAATTTGCTGTGGCAGTAGGTACCTGTAGCCTGTTTAATAGTGACTGCCAGCCAACTAATCTGCTTTAAGAAGGAAAAAATTCTGGAGAGATTCTGAACACATGCAGTTGCAATCACAAACACTAGGGAAAAGATGGAAGTATTAAAAGGTCAGTTAAATATTTTGGCAGCCAAAGATTGTTTCATTTAAAGAGATACTGATTTTATCTTCCCAGCTATTATTGATGGCATGTAGTTAATTCCCCAAATTAAGTGTACTTTATGTTGTATAAACAAAACCCATGCATATTATCTTCTTATTTCTTCATTTAAAAGATAATGGCCAGCCCTGTCACTGAATTCCCATTGAGAAATCCTGGGCAATAGTACTGCAAATGTGGTATGTGAAGATTCAGAAAGACATCAGCAAAGTGCTATACTTGTTACAGGTATTAGGGTCTCTGTCCCATCATTATTAAGTGATATGGATCTTCTTTGTTTTTAATTTTTTTAACCTAAAAGTTAGGTCATGAAACACAGCTGTGTAGAAACACCACACCAAACAGCTAACCAGCAGCATTACAAAAACTTATATAGGCTCAGATACTACCAAATGGACTCACAAAAAACTTCCCCTAAACTTTACTCCTCTTGAGTGAAGAATGACTATCACACATTTGTTGCTGGTTTGTGTCAACAGCAGTCATTCAGCACAGCAACTAGCAGAGTTGTGGGGCTAAAAAAAACGTATTTTGAGAGAGATTAATCGCGCAAGGAAACTCAGCTGTTGCCTGGGTCAGTATGTTCTGCACTGAGGATATAGCTTACAGGCTTGCAAAAGACTGTAAATCATGGACCAGTTCTAAATATCTTTTCTAGTTTGTACTCAATTACCTGTGAAGTTTTGTGCTTTCAAATGTAGGTCATACAGCTTATGAATATAGCGAATATACATCTCTTCCTTGTTCAGTTCAGTCTTGTAAAAATTCTGCAATAAAATTGAATTTGGTAATGAAATGTAGTAGTTAATAAATATATGATAATGGTAATAAAAACATAATGCTCTAGAAATACATGTATAGATTTGAAAGTTTCACATGTACAAAGTCATTACACAGAACTGCAGTAATACAGTAAGAAACAGTAAATAGAATAGTAAATTTTCAGTAGACAAGTCAATATGCTCTTGATTTTTTTTAAGTTTTCATTGAACGAAAGAGAAAGAGCCTGATAGAACTGAAATCTGACGGTTCTTTCTTTACAAATATCAATCCATCCAAAAGTGCTCTCACATATCCTTATCTCAGCCATTTAACATCTTGCTGAAAGCTGTATGTTGATTTTAAAATATTGACACCACTCTGACTTTTGTATTAATGTTTTAACAAAACATCTACTGCCCGGTATGTCTACTCTTCCTTCTGTCATAGCAAAATGGTAGAAGGACTTTGGTAGTTTTATGAACTATTCAGTATTGTAAACAGTACAATCCTGAATGACAAACATTATTTCTTCAGCCCTAACTGATGCTGGGAAGTGGTAATTGATGCACAGATATTGCATTGCATGACTGAAATACACTAAGTTGCACTCTGAGGTGATATCCAGGACAAAACTTCTAGAAGTGGCTAAAGAATTCTGGATGTATAACTGCTATTTGTTGTTACATGGATAAAATATGGAATGCAACATCAAAATGCTTGGTTAAAAAACATTCATTATTTATTTGCAAGCCCTAAAACAAAGTATGAAAAAGTTACAGGGAGAGGAGCAAAACACTATAGCACTGTTCACAAGTACTGCCATGCTCACTATGAACAGCTAGAGTAGCTACAGTTCCCCCACTAGCCATAGTTAACATTCAGGACAATCTGCTTTGGTTAATAGAAATTTATAGGATAAAAGAATCTAGCACTGGTCCTCATTAGCAATTAAGAATTTCTGTTCTATTATTCAAATCACTTACTATTTTGAACTCTAACACTGTTCCCTAAATTGAGTTGTTATCAAAGAGAAACGTAGAAGGAACATTATGAAAATATGAAAACGAAAACTTTATAGAGAAAGTATTTTTCTTGCTGACTTGAGAAAATTCATAGAACCTAAAATATCAATTAAATATCAAATACAATGAGAACCAGAGATGCTGAGAAAAACCCATCAGTGAGTTACCAAAAGTTTTTTCAATATACTTTCAAGGCTTTTGTACAACTCTGTGATGACAGAGTTTTTTCATTAGAAATTCAACTTCCAAATTGGAATTATGCGATTCTTGTGCATAAGGAACCAACTTCATTAGACACCTCTTAAACTAGCTTTTCCAAACAAGCATTACTCATGTGAAACCTATCAGAGGGTGAGAAGAATAGGAAAAAAGTTCCTACCTTCTCCTTTCATCTAAGTTATTGCTGCTGGTGCATACCCCTTCTGCATATTTCACGTGATGTGGCATAATTCCAGTTAATTTGATAACTTGGCCAATTCTATTTTTTGGAAGAACAGAACATACCTCTATGGCAAAACAATGTAAAAATTCTCTTTTCATGGCAACCAGTCCTCTTATCTTTGGAAGTCAGAATATCTTCAAAATAGTGGTGAAAAATGAAACATTGCTTCCTCCTTTGGACTTCAAATAATTTTAACATTATACATTCCTCTAATTACTCATTGCATGAAACATATTTTGAGATGGCAACCAATTCATCCATCATATGGGCAAGCAAATGTCTTGAAATTTGTGTGCTACTTCTGTAACTGAAATTACCTTTTCAAAATTTAGGATTCATTGTTTCTGTGGTGTGCAACTAGTATAAAAATTTGTCTGAAAAACATTAGGATATGAAATCCGCCTTAGCCTCTACAAGCCATTGAAAATACAATTAAAAATACTATGGTGTTTTGGTATTTTTAAATATTTGTATTTTCTTTTTATGCAAATCTTGGATAATTTGCTAATAATAGTTTAAAAACTCCTTAGTGATAGGATGAAAATAATCCAGGTGCTTTACAGAATTTAGATCATGCCATATATTCTAACAGAAAGCCAGCTGCTCTATGGCCACGTAGTAAACACCAACTCTATTTGGAGAGTACTATTTTCCTTCTGAAGAAATCCTTTATTCTCTTATAACTGCTACTTAGAAGCAACACCAAATTGTTTCACTGACGTAAAAAATGCAGAATTACAAGTCAGCTTATTCTGGTTTTTTTTCCCCTGTCTAAAAATACAGCTTTCTAAAACATTCACCATGAAAATGGAAACTTTCCAAGGTTAACGGAAGTCAACAAACTTGTCAGCAGAAACTGGCCTAAAACCAAAATGAAACTTGTCAACAAAAATGAAATATTTTTCATACTACAAATTTGCACTGTTGGTTTGTTGTAATGACGACAACTTGAGCAGAATTTCTGGCTCTTCTACTGGGAAGAGAAGAGGTAGCCTACAGTCTTCAAAAAATTGTATGTCATAAGAACCAGCTTGTCTCACTTACTGAGGAAGAAAGAAAACAGGAGAAATCATATGATTTTTGTTGGTTTTGGGAAGGAGGAAAGGCTTGTTTGTTTCTATGAACCTGGAAACCAATTAAACTTGGAACATACTTTGGTGAAGTTTATCCAGTAGGAAGAAACAGAAAACTATTCAAATAAAGCAGTATTAGAGATCTCTGAGACCAACTATAAAATGCCAAGGAAGACTAACTACCCACTGTATTAATTTCACCCTGAAAAAAAAATCAGTGATCCTAAGTGCAGTATTATTCTGTCAACTTCCACTCAAACTGCATCAAGAAGCAAGGTACCTCCTATTCAAATGTGTGGCCACATACTAGAAAATGCTCAACTGAAATAAAAAAAGGAAAGGAAAAGTATTATACAAACCAAAAGGCTAACAGTGCAGCCAATCTTTTTGCCATCCACTTCTCCCATTTTCATGCAGTCCCTAAAACAGAAAGTAATTAAAGTCAAAAGGAATGAAAATTTAATGAAATATAATAAGGG